TTCTTCTCTTCCTACCACCTTTTTTATTTCCTTTTTTCTCCTTTGTCATGATAGATGCTGTGTTTCACTCGTCATGCAAGATCCAAATTATAATATTCAAGACCCTTTAAGTGCCATAACAAACCTTTGTTCAAAGGCCTCTTTCAAAGGAAATGCCACCTTCAAGCCCAGTCGAATTCCATAAAATCCAGAATTGTCTTTCTTGTAATCGCGTTATTCTCTCATTCGCCACTCGTTCTCTGGTGCTCGGTTCTCGCAGAATCCTGAAGACATGGCATCTTATTCAGAAACGATAACCTCGACTTCCCAACTTCCAGTAGCAGGTCCTACTGATCGAATCAGAAACAGTCCTCAAGCTGGAAAAGGACATGCATGTTAGATCCAGTATGGCATTTTCAGTTTACCGTTTTCAGATGCTTACATGCAACGACCATCGCAGATGCAATGACATCTCGCCATTCTCTTCGCTCCCAGTCTATTTCATCTTCACGCAGATTAGAACTCGCTATACCCCCGACCGGCTCGGATGCGATGGACATAGATTCTGTGGGCTCTGAGCTTGATATAAATGTCTTTTTCGAGACAATACCAATCCTAGAGGTCATGGACGTGGACGCTGAGGACGACCAGTATCCTCAAGATATGGATATCGATTCAGACCTGTGTGATTTTATGCCAGACGTTCCCATGCTCACTCCCTTCGAGAAATTTACTCAGTACTTTTCACATGTGATGTCTCCGCTTTCGTGGTCGGATAAGGCGTCCTCTGTGAGGTCTGAAATGACGGCATGGGACGCGCCATCAACAGTATGCTCTTGGAGTGTTACCGTGAGGTATTGATATGGCGCGACTGTTTTGTCCTACTCGAGTATAGGCCATGCTCAGTCTCTAATGGTCGCATCCCCGGATCCATAGACACGATGGTTATGGGGGTGTGGTTTCTAGGCATTGCACGCAGCATCTTAGGAGCACCACTGGGTCGTGCCGAAGATCTAGGAATTGTTTGGCGATGGAGTAACATCTTGGGTAAGTCTGGAGTGGAGTGATGCATACTCAGACTTCTCGGTATCCCATGCACTCAATACTCCATCAAGTCACATTTGTACAGCTTGAACAAGTTCATCTAAGTATAGTCTATTCTTTTTTAGGAGTCCTTACTCTATTATCATACTAGCTGTCTATGGTCCATATAAACAATCTCCACTTCATTGTACTGACTGTGGATCTTCTAAGCGTGCAGCCGTCCATGCATAGCGGTAGACGTCGAATTGACGCGTATAGTTCGGGACTTGACCCACAGAATAAAGGAGCGCGTAGATACACGTGATCGCCTTTTGCCAAGAATAGACACCCATCTCCAAAGCTCCACTCTGGCTCCAATTTCGAGCGACTGCGCTTTCTGTCTCGCTTGACGGTCTCCGTGGATACAATTACTGTTCTACACTATTCATAGATAGCAGTAATGAAACGAAGACATGAAGCCACCAATGACGTTGCTTGGTCTATCAAATCTTCCATTGGGGCTCTTAGACCTCGCCCTATATAATGTGGAGTGCTAGCCCTACCGGATCAGCAAATTCAACTTGAACTCGAATCGCTACTCTTCAACGTTCTATTTCTCTTCTTATCCTCCAAACTTATCATGTCGACCACTACTGCAACCATGACTGAAATCGCTGTGCACGACGCTACTCGTATCGTGTATGTCTCATCTTCTCGTCGCCCGACACGTCATTGACCTAAATCTTTTCTTTCAGTGCTGAAGGAAGTGTCGACCTCAACTCGGTCGGTGAAGTTGAAGCTCGCAAGATCATGTCTTTCGAACACAAAGCATTGGGTTATCGTCCCCCACCCGGGTCTTTGGCTTCCGAAGCTCAAGCAGCGGCTGCAAAACACCCGCAGGGTGGACCCTCTCCCCCTCCCGTCGATATATTGAAGAAGGCAGCTTTGAGCGATGCTGCAAGGATCGAGAACGAGAGAGGACAACCTATCCCCAAGAGTACCGTCGTTGACGGCATTGACTTGCAGAAGATCACTGAAGGTCTGTCTAGTCTAATTAGGGCCTCTATTCGTTCATTGACAATGTCTGCCACAGTTGAGGCTCGCAAGTTGATGTCCGAAGAACACAAGGCATTGGGATACAGACCCCCACCAGGATCTTTGGCCGCTGAGGCGCAGGCTGCTGCTGCCAAACACCCGAATGGCGAAAGCGAGCAGTCGATTGACCCTAAGGTTTTGCAGCAGGCTGCAGTGAAGGATGCTGCCCGCATCTCGTAAGTGCTTTCCGTTTACTCCTAACTTCGATCTTAACGGTAGAACGTTGTTTCCTTAGAGCGGAACGTCGTTCCAGATCCAACTCCCCTCCTCAAGTTGATCCTAGCAAGGTTACTGAAGAAGAAGCCAAAAAACTGCAATCCCTGGAGACGAAACTGTATGTGTAAATGTTGTTCAATTCATGGTCGTCGCTAATTTGCAAACAGTCTGGACAGTACTGCCGGTACGGTGGCTGCAGAAGCCCAGTCTAACCTTGACACTACAAACCAGGATTAATTCTTACTCTGATTCTTCTGCATCCAACAACGCATATACCTGTATACAATAATTTCCATCATGTACCATAGCGTTTTATAGACTAAAGAAATATGTATTTGTATCCACAAGCCATATCGGTTACCGGGGGTGACTAGAGCACGCGGGCTTAGCCGAGGGTTTAAAGTTCCTTCATAATTTGCAGCATGCTGCAGGGGTCACCCCTCTTGGTTACTTCACAGCTGTCAGCGCCTATAGCTGAAGATCAGTACGAAGACATAATCTTTGCGGAGATGACTTCGCCTGCCATGAGAACGCCACTCAGCGACGTTCCCGAACATGGCCCGTTCACCCCTACTTCTCCCGACTATCCAGGCTTAAACTCACCCTATTTCACCCCCTCTGCAGCCGGATCTTCTACCACTTTAGGTGGTGGTGCGGGATATCAGTCTTCGTCTTCCTCTGGTCCAAGTGGCAACACTAACAGCGCCAGAAGATCAGGCAACGCCAGAAAACCGAACGGATCACGAACTCCTAACAGTCGGACACCTGATCCCACTTCTCATTCATCCAGTTCGCGTCGTACGCCTTCCATGTCTTCCAGTACCTCCACATTGGTGATGAAAGAGAAGGAGAAGGAAAAAGACAAAGACAGGGAACATGGTCATAAAGAGAATAGGGATAAGGAAAAGGAAAAAGATCGGGAAGGTTACGCTACCACCAAATCGCAGGGGGTTCGACACATGGCTTCGACGAATCTGGGTTCTAGCACACAGAGGATACGCGTTACGCCGAGGTTACCGCACGACAAGGATGCTGAACCTGCAGCGAGCACTATCATGTATTGGAGTCGTGCACCTGTTTATGGGACTTGTCCAACAAGGACGATGAGAGGACACACTGTCACTCTCGTAGATTCGACTGCATGGGTCTTTGGGGGCTGCGACGACAAAGAAACGAGCAGAGACATCTATTGCTTTGACGTTGGTAAGTAGCAACAGTACCCCTTCGGCTTTTCGAACCAGCTAACTCATAGCTTCAATTATTGGAAAATCTCTATTCTACATAAATGACAGAAACAATGCAATGGACCCACCCCGAAACAGTCGGAGACATACCTTCACCCTCTCGTGCGCATACCGCCACTCTCGTCGACCGCAAAATCTACATTTTCGGTGGTGGTCAATCTGCGAATTACTCCTCTAATGTCTATGTCCTCGATACCACCACCCGGCGATGGACGCGTCCCGAAATCCAAGGAGAAATCCCTGCTCCTCGCCGAGCCCACACTGCCGTATACTACGCTGGGAAGATTTGGGTGTTTGGCGGGGGAAATGGTATGATGGCTTTGAACGACGTTTGGGCTTTGAATGTAGCGAAGATGGAGTGGGAGAAGATCAAGCCGAGGGGGATGTTGGATAGGTTTGGGAGAGAGGTTTTACCTAGTCCGAGGGGATATCATACTGCGAATTTGGTGGGGAATATGATGATAGTAGTTGGAGGGAGTGATGGTAAAGATTGTTTCGCAGAGGTTTGGTTGTTGAACCTGGGTATGTCTCTTTCTACTTCATCGTCTGTATTTATTTTCATTGCCGTTCTTTTTTCTTCTTCCTGTATAGACACTCTGGAATGGACGATAATGGAACTCCCAGAGTCCCACAAACGTCTATCACACACCTCCACTCAGGTTGGCTCCTACTTGTTCATCCAAGGTGGCCATAACGGCGCGGAATACATTAACGACATGAAGTTTTTCAATCTCGGTAGGTCTTGTTCATCGCCTCTTTATGCCATTTCAAGACCTAACGACTTTGTTCTTTTCTAAGTCAATCTGCAATATGAGTACCGTCAAGTCTTGGGGAAACCACCAACACCTCGAGGATACCACGTCTCCATTTTGGCTGACAGCAGGCTCTTTTTCTTCGGAGGTTACAATGGTGCGAACGCCTATGATGATGTGCATATCGTGGACCTTGCCGGGGCAGCTTATTTACCCCAAGTGACCAGTTTTACTATCGAGGTTTGATGAAACTTCAAACTTTAGGAGTGCGGTGGGGCTGGGGTAATTGGGATTCTCGGCTGATATCGACATTTGCTTCCTCTTGTAAAGTTGTATTATTCGGTGCTGTGTCTTTACTGGTGGTTGCTTGGGTAGCGCTCGGTATGAACAGGCAATTACATATGTACATTTACTTATTCTTCGTTTCTTTCCTTGTAATTCGATTTCTTGCCAGTGGTATTGAGGAACCTATAGGCCCAAGAAACAATGAAGGTGGCAACTTCGGGGACAACTCGAAGCAGTGAATATTTTCTTTTTCCTTAGTTGACCTAGGCTTGGCCTTATAATTATTGTCCTCTGGTTCATACAAGGTACTTTGGAACTTGTGGTTACATCTGTACCTGTCTATGCTATAACGGCTGATATTATGCTCGAGCAAAAAATATCTACACGTCGAAAGTGTAAAAACCACCTCCCTGGCTGGGAGTCGAACCCAGCTTTCGCGCGAGCAAGGACGGAGATTATTACATAATGACAGGCGCGTGTACTAACCGATATACTACCAGGGAATTGACTGTAGGGCATTTCATTTTTTACAATTCGATTGCACCTGTAGGTGATACACCAGCCTAATCAACTATTCCTACTGGCTTCCTACCCCAAGCCATCCAGCCGGGAGCTGGCCTGATATCTCAGAAGTACAAGTCACTAGGCAACAACTTGAAACTTACAACAGCTCCTAGCTGAATCATTTGCATTATATGCATGCGCTTGGTCTCAAGCAAGTTCACTAATAGAGTGAGGCTTTGTCGCTCCCTAGGACTGACTGATGGTTATACACATGTTATATATATAGTGTAGTATTTTTGTAGTCGCCAGATGCACTGAGATTGTTGAACAGAATTGCATATGTACACAGCACAGCTCGTGTCCAAAAATATGTGCTCTCTAGTCGGGGAGACGATTATAATCAACGGAGGGTTTGTATACGCACAGTGATATTATTGATGGGACCTAAGTACCTACGACTCTGAGTATCACCGCTGAATACATATGAAGATGATAAAAGATCAAGTATCTATCAGGGACACGCCGAAGTATAGCGCATATTTGGCGCATATTGTTAGATATCATCGCGCAGACATAGAATACAACTAGCCGTTACCCGTGCGATGCACGTAAGAGCTCTCACCGCCCTCCCTTCGGTCGGGCGGGTTCGAGGCTTCCCGTGATCAATGACGTCAAGCGGCAAGCAGCCAGCCAATCAGATTATACTTTTATCAAACACGAACAAACATATGTCTTTTGTAATGTAGAGATAGAGATTCCTTGATTCTAGGTGTGTAATGACTTGAAAGTTAAAAGTACTTTACGTGCAATGGATTCAAAGAGGAACGCTAATCAGAAAAACTCAGAGTGCTACAGAGTATGGTACAGCGAGTTGCAAGGCACTAGATCTAACGCACTTCAATGGCGACTTACGTCGCTCAGATGGTCAAGATGCCACTTACCAGAGCTCTACGTATAATATAATATGTGCTATACCTAAGATCCTTATTGGTGGACCTGATAATAATAAGGACGGCAGCGACTGTTAAAATATTGAAATCCAAAACGTTGAACGTTGTACAGTGATTGTGCTAGCGTCGTCCTGTCTGAATGTCAATATTGATTCGATGTTCGTCATTTAAAATCCATCATGCCATCGCACTCGCCGCCCACTGCTTCTGACGGGATGAACTCAACCGGTGGACGCATGTAATGAATAACATGCCCGGAATGTATGAACGCGCGCTCCAGTTGAATGTCCGGAATCAAGAGCATTCGATAGATGCATATCGTATGGAATGGAATCCGAACTCCGACCCAACGTCTTTCGTATTCGAATTCTAGGAGGCGGTATCTGGACAGATAGAATCTGATTGAAAAAGGTCGAACAGTTACTACATGGTACATACTTACTCCGCACGAATGAACGTTCACGTTCACGTCGGATTTATAGATGCTATCTTGTTTGATGTTTGATAAATGGGAAAGATAAGTGAGAAGTGCCGGGGGAAGTAGGACGGGTTTGGTAGTCAGTGAACGATACTATTTGCCCGAAGGTAGAAGTGGATCCAGAGAGGTCCAAATATACACCAAGATTACCCCGGAATCTAGCGGTGTACATAGCAACAGAACGATAATAAACTCCCATGTGCAACGAGGTTTTTCAACAGCGAAACATCTGATAATTTGTGTCGGCTGAAAGTTCTCTGCGTCTATTTATGTACAGCAAAAAAGGCGCGTGATGAAGGGAAGTAGAAGATGAGGTGTACTTAGCAACGAAAACGAGAGCAAAAGAACTTGACTACATACCTACATATCTTTTTTTTTTTTTCAATTGAAAGTTGGCGTTGATACGGTGGGAAAGCGTAGTGGAGCCAAAAGACTCGAGTGGTGATTCCGTTGGAGCAACAAAATGAAAAGACTCTTCCTCGACGATCTTATTCACGGATTTGGGGATTTACATACAGAGGATTTACCTTTTTTTCCGTTCGAGGGTTAGGGAACTTGAATGTATGGAGAATTTGAAAAGCGCGACGGATCTAGAGGAAAGACCAGTTTCCTTCATATCCCTGCAGGACATGTGCTAGGAGAGGTTTGCAAGGGTTTGCGCGGGTACACACTTGGGGTTTCACGGCTGTTGAGAACGGATATATGGTTATAGCACTGCATCTGCTTCTCTGTCGAGGTCGAGATTCAATTGCAACATATGCACCGTTGCTTTCCACCAGACAACCAATAAGTACTAAGTACGCATTAACCCGTTTCTGCTGTGCCCTTGGATGTCTTGAAAGAGATATATAATCGCAACACCTTTTGGCCAGCTCACACTTGCCGATGAGGAACTTGATTGGAAGTGACGGTCGTCTAACGGTTTGACATGGAGATTGATGTCTTCATCAAAGATGTTTGTAGAGCGAGGGCAAGGGATGACTGATTTGAAACGGATCCGAGCGATATCCCTAATAGATTCGTACTAATAGGACGACGGAGAGTTGCTACCAGGCACGGATGTGACTAAGTATGTGATGAAGAGACACATGTTTTGATGTTCTCGGTTGACTGGGGTGTACATGAGAGCCTGGAGGATTTGGAGGAGTCTTGGAGTTTGTTGTGAGAAATAGAGCAGGCTTTTTGAACTTTTTGAACTTTTTGAAGGAGAGAAGAGAAGAGAGACTTCTAAGGGAATGGAAATAAAAACCGGGAGAAAGCAGAGATCCGAAATGATAAATCTATTTCTGGCCAGGCACCAAGGGATGACAAGGCCGTGATTGAACAGGCCGATACGGCTGCCGAACAGAACGCCCTTGTGGACGTTTTAAAAGGATCGAGGGAATGGAACGATTTCAACCCTTCTCTCTTCCTTTTGCTCTGTCTTGCTTCAAGGTCGTCGCCTAGCGCGCTTCACAGGGACTTCCCTTCACTGACACTGGTGTCGATTTCTTCATTTGTGGTATTCCGTTCGTCGTTATCTATTCCAAGCCCAACCTCCTTCAAGCCCTCCAAGCACCCTCGTTCCTTTTAACCCACTCCGTCCTTTTACGAAATGTTCGCAAAAACTATTTACGCTGCACTTTTTGCATTCGCTCTCTCCGCTCATGCCGCTCCTTCCTTCCGCAACACCGAGGAAACTTGTGATGTATGTCAACTTCAACTTGTCAAGTGTGCGCTGATTCTCATCAGTTTCTCATCAGGCCAACGCTGTGAAAACTGTCACTGTGACTGCTACTCCCTCTCCGACTGATGCTTCTACTTGTGACGTAAGTCAACTGAGATGTGCCACACTGTCCAGCAATCTCACCAAATAATAATAATAATAATAATAATTGGATGCAGGCCGCTAGCGTGATTGTATCTACTGTTACCGTTACTGTTGGATCGACCGCCACCGCCGCACCTTCTAACAACGGAGGTTCCAACAACAACAGTACGTGTTTTCTTTATGCCACTTCTTTTTGAAATGCTTACATCGGACTTTAGACGGTGGCAACACCGGTCAGTTCAAGATGTCATTCCTGGTAATTCTTCATTCTTACGTCCATTCTTTCTCTTGAAGGTTCTTCAAACAACACTGGCTCTGGTTCAAACAACGCTGGTAACGGAAACGCAGCTGGTAACACCAACACCGGTTCAAACAACAACAGTGAGTATCACGATTTTCTGTCCGATCCAGCGGTCTGATGACTTTGACAGATGGTGGAAGCTCTGGTTAGTCCGAGGAAGAAATGAGAAATAATTATTTACATACTTACCAACTCTACCTTAGGTTCTGTCAACACTGGGTCCAACAACAACTCCGGTTCCAACAACAGTAAGTATGCCTGATGTCGACCCTTGAGTGATTTTTCTAAACGACCTACGTCTACAGACGCTGGAAACACTGGTGGAAACAACGGCTCTGCCAACACCGGTTCCAACAACAGTGAGTATTGCTACCATCTTGCTTCTGGGCAAGCCTTCTAAGGGCCTTTGTCTTCAGACGCCGGAAGCACTGGTGGAAACAACGGCTCCGCCAACACCGGTTCTAACAACAGTGAGTATTGCTACCATCTCGATTCTGAGTGAGTCTTCTAAGAGCCTTCGTCTTCAGACGCTGGAAGCACTGGTAACAACGGTTCTGCAAACACTGGATCCAACAACAACACAGGCTCTAACAACAACAGTGAGTAGAACCAATGCTCTTTGTTCTTTCACGCAGGCGGTCTGATCATTTTTTTCTTCTAGATGGATCCGGTAACACTGGGGCAGGAAATGCTGGAAACAACGGTCAGTCCAACCGCGAACCATGAGAGCGATCGATTTTTTTGTTTACAAGTTCCTATTTACAGGCTCCGCCAACACTGGTTCGAACAACAATGCAGGAACCGGTAACGCCGCTGGGAACGCTGGTGGAAACAACAACGCCGGAGCAGGAAATGCCGCTGGTGATGATGCCGCCCAATCCTCTCTGAGTATGTTTTTTTACAGTATCTTTCTTTGATGAAGTCCTGATTTACTCTCGTGAAGCCCTTGATCCCCGTGTGATCGCTACTGGATTCGCCAACGATGGCCAGGATGTGCCGACGGCAGGACAAGTCGCTTCTTTGACTTCGACCAACAACTTCATCAACTTCTGTTTGACCGTGCCCAACCTTCCCATTACAAGTGAGTTCGCCCAGAAAAACATGGTCCTTCAAGCATTGACCCCTGGTCCTTTTCTTCTTTTCTTTTAGACGGAAAGCAGATTACCACTGGATCATGTAACCCTGCCCCCATCGGTGTGATTCCTTCGATCAGCAACATGCCCAGCTGCAAGTTCGCCTTCCCCCCCAACGGTGGTAACGTCGACGCAGACACTGCCTTCACCATTCAGATGAACATCAAGAACATGGAGACTGGTAACTTCGTCAATGCGCAAGAGAACTACTTTGCTGCTCCTCAGCAACTCAACGGCCAAGGTCAAATCATTGGTCACACCCACGTCGTCGTTGAGGAAATTCAGTCGCTCTCGGACACCACGCCCACGAACCCTAAGGTCTTTGCT